GCAAAATTTTGAATGTAAGACACTAAAACCTTGTGTCATGTGCAATTAAGGGTACCGAGGGCAATAGGGTTAATAGTCAAAAGGTTGGTTGCAGATTAGAAGCTCACTGTACTTAGTTGTTGTGTCATTGAGCACATTATCCAAAGTTTGTGAGGCCTGGCATAGCCTGGTGGCTAAGGGTGCTTGGCTCACAATCTGTGGGTTGCAGGTTCGAATCCCTGTCACAACAAACATGCTTGCCCTTTCAGCTGTGAGGGTGGTATAATGTGTTGCTCAATCTCACTATTTTTTAGTAAAAGAGTAGTCCAAGAGGTGGTGGTGGTTGGTGTTTACTAGCTGTCTTCTCTCTTGTCTATCACTGCTAAATTAGAAATGGCTAGCTCAAAACAAAACAAACCAAAACTTGCATATCTACCCAGCTATAAAATTGGTAACTTTAAGTAGCTGAGAGTTAACCTACGACAAGCTGTCATCACTTCCACATGAATTTTAAAAGCATTCTCATGCATTTATGATACAAGAAATTGTAGTTAAGCATCGGCTCAAACTGTTTTCAGTACTCTACTTTTAAGGCACTATTAAGCAGGCTGTGTTATAATAAAAAGAATTACTAGAGATGTTTAAATGTTTTTATAAGATATACTAATTTTAAGGGAAAGTTATTATTCATACTTTAATGGCTTAATTTGAGATGTGCAATGGAATTATAGAAAATGGAAGTGTTTTCAATCTTCTGTATTAAGGATTATGTTTACCATGTTAATATGATAAGTATTGAGTGATATTAGAAGAGTGCCAGAGAGAGAGAAAAAATTTGGTGTTTGTAAGTTTTTTTTGGTGTTTTATTGTTATTGGTATATATGATAAGTTATAATAAAAAAAACTTTGTTATTTAATTATTAAGCTTGGAAAATCACTAGAATAATTTTGTAAAATTATAGTTGATTATGTATTAAATCAAACCTAGGACAAAGTCCCTGCTCCTGTCTTGTCAACCATGGTAGACCTGAAGTCCATTGAACAGCTATATGGTTTAGCGGAAAGAGTAACAGCAGCAGAATCTCTGTACGTATCTGAACACAAAGTTTGCGATTAAAGTAAAGGAGTTTTGTATTTCAAAGTAAATGTGTGTTTGTGTTTGTGAATATCCTCACTACTCTTACATGTCCATAAATGTCCCTCAGTGGGATAGCGGTAAGTTTTGGATTTACAACTCTAAAATCAGGGGTTTGATTCCCTTCAGTGGACATGGCAGACAAAAACATAAAGTATGAGACATCTTTTTTTCTGTATAATTAGAAATATTTGAAAACATAATACTTTTTTTTTTCTGAAAATGATCTTATAAAAAAAATTAAAAAGTGACCAAGAGACTCTTCACATCAACTAAAACCCAAGTTTAATGTCCTGAAAAAATTCTCTATCTTTTACATATCTTTCTTGCTATAAATTTTCCTCTCACATAGAGCACATGGATGTTTTACTGTTGAATATTGTTTATGTTTAAGGTGGTGTTTATAATTACTTGAAAAGATAAAGTATTCTTACTAAATTGCCATGGTGTTTAAATATTCGTTTTGTTTAAAGTGTTGATAGTTGCTGAGTTGTTGACCTAGGTTCTCATATTGTTTGACTTGATAATTTCAAACATCACTGTGAATTCGAATAACTTAAAAACTGTGGGTATTATTTTTGTATTATAGGTTTTAAGTGTCAAACATAAATAATTACTGCCCAACCTTTTTTAACTTTCACCAAAACAATTATCAGATTGATAGTGTTGTTAACCAATATGAGACAAAATCACTTCACATCTACCTTATATCAACTCGATGTAAGAAGATAGCATGCAGTATGATAGAAATCCAGGTGTAGCCTAGTGGTTAGTGTACTCAGACTGTAAATCTGAGGGTTCGTGATATGTTTCCTAATGCCACAAAATTGCTCTCCACACTTTGGATTCATGGACTCATTTAAAGAGTGACAGTGAATCCCCACCATGCTATAAAAGTAGCCCAAGAGTTGGCAGTGATTTCTGTTAATGAGCTACCTTCCCTCTAATCTGTCAGCTCAAAATTAGGGACTGCTTTGTACAAAGAACAGAAACAAACAAAAACAAAACAGGAGGTTTTGACACTAAAAGTTACATTTTGTGTGACCTCTTATAGCTTTATGTTGTGATTTATGTTTTAAGTAAGTCTAAATTTAACATCAATTTTGTATGGATGAAAGTGGAAGCTTTTAACATGTCATCAACATAGATTTGCATTTGTTTTATACTATAACTGAGTGTAAAATCTACTGAACTTTTTGCTGAAAAAGAAACACAAAAAAAGAGATACCATTATTGAGATAAAGCTTTGATAGGTTTTGAAACTTGAATTTTATATGAAATTTTTTTGTTCTTTATTCTGATCTTGATGACTAATTTAACTACATCATTAAATAAAATTGTTGAAATAAATTTTTTTGATATGGTCTTTACCTACAGTGTTTTAACGAGTTATGGACCATTTTATTATGATTCACTTATTAAGTATATATCATAGGTGAGTTTGAAAAATAAAATGCCAGAAAATTATTTATTAACAGTACATTTCTTCTTACATTGGCAGTGTCTTCCTAGCTAACCAGTTTGAATTTCTTCATCCTCATCTGGAAACATTTATTCCATCATCTAAGAAAGCTTTTCTGCAACAGTTCTGTTCACAGGTATATATTATAAAATAACTAGTTATTGTAGGTAGTTGCTTAGACCTTAATATACAGTAGGATTTTTGCTTTACCAACAGTGTGGTATCCTAACATAATTCAATTCCCCCAATCCAACGAGACTTTGAAAAGTCTGGGCTCCTAACAATTTAGCTAACCCAGTAATTACCATTGTTTTGATATTAAAATTTTCTGACTTTCACACTCCCCTCTTTTCATAAACAAGGTCTTTGTTTAACATAAGTTAAGCTTGTGAGAGTTTGTTTTTAGTTAAACCCTGATTTTTCTATGATATTCCAAAACAAGATGATTACACTCTCAAACTAAGGAAAAGAGTTATCACACTAGTTGCTGCTGGTGAGCTACTTTGGAAGGACTGAAAATCTTCTGTTACTGAAACATGTATTTATTCCGTAATTTTCTTTGGGGTCTGTCGATTATGTTGTGTAGAATGAAGTTTTGAGTAAAACTTTGAGCTTTAACTCTTTCAGCACGGGCTCGGTCCCTGGGACCGACCTCGTAACCATTTTGTACTTGTTTTAATTTTCATGCTATAGCTTTTAAATTAGCAAGCATATGTTAACAAAATTTGATAGATTATCAGTAAACATTACAATGCTTTCATACCTAAAATATCAAATTTTTTTATTACGTCTTAAGGTTTATGAAGCAATATTTTTCTCTTGTCTATTTTTTCTTTTCACATCTTGCCTATCCAACATGCAAAGTAATATTTATTTCAAGATTAAAAATACTTTTATACTTCAGAAAATTTTTAAATTTCACATGCGAAATCTTTATAATGTCGAGATAGTTGTCAAATGTTTCTTAAGAAAAAACTATATTTTATCTGTTATTTTCAGTAATTAATCTCTGTACGGGTTCAGTAGATTTGACCGATCTTGCAACCACCATAAAAAATTAGGAAATAAACCCAAGTTATGCCTAT